TTCATTATAATCTTCATACTACGTGGTCATAGTCATAAAATTTTTAAACGTAGCTTGCTTATTCATACAAATATATGATTTCATGTTCAAAATAGCACATTATGTTTGAGTATTTATAAGATTTTATTAGACAATTTTTAGTTTTTTATAACTTTTAGTTTTTGATACAGATTTTAAAATATTATTAATGTTATTTTGAACATGAAACCATATATTTGTATGAATAAGCTAAGTTTAAAAGTTTTATGACTATGACCACGTAGTATGGTGATTATAATGAATCTTTTTCGATTACTACTGTATCAATAATCTAAAAATATAAACAATGTGTTAATGTTCCATGAACCGATTTGACAAATACTATTAGTAAATAAATTTTTATAAAATTATCTATATATCTCCATATAATCTTTACAATAAAATTTAAAGTTATTATTTTTAATAAAAAATTACTGGATACAAAGTTATAAGATTAATTTAAGTTGTGACTCTGAATTTGACTGTAATATAAATTATAATATAATATACAATTCTGATATACTCTAACTTTATATTGTATTCATAAAATATTTTTAAATTTTATAAAATGATTACTAGACTAGTACCAATACATCAACTATACATGGACAACCTAATAAAGTATAGAATCTATACTATAGATTATTTCTAGTTCTTAAAATAAAAGAATTTTAATTTTAACAATATTCAACTTCATTTTCTTAGCTAGTATCTTTCTTTGAATAATTGTAATTATTTTTAGTATAAATATAATTTGAATAATTTTATGATATAAATTGTATGACTTGTTTATTCAAACAGATCAACGGATTCAACGATTTTTATTTATTCAAGAAAGAAGTGCATCCGAGAAGATCCAAACGACATGCCATTCACTACACGAGCCAACTGTTGAGTGACAGTCGTGTTGAATGGGCTGAACAACAGTCGGCTAGAGTTCGGACTAAGAGAGACTTCATTTCCTTCCACTCGCAATGGCTTAAGTTCTTGCGTTCAAGTGATCCCCTGGAAAGGGGCAAAAAATCTCCCTTTCCTCACGAGGACAACACATTTAATGATGAGCTTTGGACGCGTCAGTGGTATCTTCACGACACACGTAATGTGCCAACTCTTCCTAAATTGGATCTCGGAGTCAAAGAGGTTTTGAATCATTTATTTTATTTTTTAAAATGGTATCAAATTTTTGACTTACTTTTATTTGTTATATAGAATTTATTCACAAGAATATTTCGTATTTACCTAGTGGACTTTTATCTTACTGATTCATTTTTACTTTTAATATTTTGAATATCTTTTCAATATATTTTATAGACTCCTTTAAAATTAATTATATTTACTGTTTAAAGGCGTGGAGAATGGGTTTCACAGGAAAAGGGATTGTCGTGACAGTAGTGGACGACGGTTTGCATATTCTATATGTAGTTCAATAACTTTTATAAAACATTATTACTAACAGGTTTGGAGTGGAATCATACTGATCTTAGATTAAACTATGTAAGTCCTTAATTTAAATGATTAAACATTCAAATGAATATTATTTGATAGGATCAAAAAGCAAGTTGTGATACAAACGATAACGATTGGGATCCAAGTTTGTTATATATTTTAACGTTCATTAACGGTTACTTAAGATCTATTAATGTTTTTTGGCTAACAGCCCCCAGTTATGATAGACTCGATTCTAATAGCCACGGAACCCGGTGTGCCGGTGAAATAGCAATGACTGCACACAACAATAAATGTGGTGTTGGTATTGCCTTCAATGCTAGAATCGGTGGTAGGAATTAGTTTAATGACAAATTTGCACACAATTTGAGAAATTTTAGTTATAGTTATACTTAATTATATACATATATCAGGAATTCGTTGTTTGGATGGAGAAGTGTCTGATGTTCTCGAAGCCCTGTCCTTAGGATTTAACAATCATTATATTGATATCTACAGCTCAAGTTGGGGACCAAATGATGGTAATGTTACCAAAATATTTACATCACAAATACAAGTATAAGTATGCTGTATAAGTTTGAAAAACATTTATAGTTGTTGTTTATTCTGAAAAACTTAATTGACAAATTATTAGAGATAGTTTGCCACTAAATAAATTAAAATCTATTTTATTTTCAAGGGAAAAGCTATACTTTCCTGTATAGCATATATTTACAAGAATTGTCTCAAAATCTCCGATTCTCTCAAATGACCACAAAATTATTTTAATTGAATTATTTTATATTTAAAATGATATCTAAATTATACTTGTGTTATAGACGGGATGTCACTCGACGGTCCCAAACGATTAGCCAGAGAAGCCCTCTGGAAAGGGATTACTTACGGACGGAATGGAAAGGGGTGTATATATGTGTGGGCGTCTGGAAATGGAGGAATAAAAGGAGACAATTGTAACTGTGATGGATATGTGAGCTCTATATACACACTGTCAGTGGGAAGTGCCAGTCAGTCCGGACAGTTTCCCTGGTATGGGGAGAGATGTGCCTCAACACTGGCCGTCACCTATTCTAGCGGTACATATACTGACCAAAAGATTGCAACGACTGATCTGCACGACAAGTGCACAATCGATCACTCGGGCACTTCAGCCGCTGCTCCCTTGGCCGCGGGTATTATTTTTGTCAAATATTACTAATTTATTAAATAATATCATATTTAATAATTAATGTTCAATTAAATCATATAGGAATGATAGCTCTGGTTCTTGAGGCTAAGTAAGCACTCATTTGTCTTAACCACTCACGTATACCTCATATCACATACAGTATTATATTAAGAAATTCAATGATTTCTTTCAGTCCTAACATAACGTGGAGAGATGTGCAGCATTTAGTTGTCTGTACGGCACAATTCACTCCACTTATGGAGAATAAAAGTATTGAATTGATTGCAAACTAATTTTTAAATAATTTAGTCACTAATGACAAGTAACTTAAGGTTGGAAGCGAAATAAGGCCGGTTTTATGTATAACAGTCGGTTCGGATTCGGACTCATGAAAGCTGGTAAAAATGTTGTTCATTTTTTGATATTTGTTTGATGTTTGATATGTGATATTTGATATTTAATATTTGATTTTGTTCAGATCTATTAGTGATGGCGGCTATCAATTGGATTAATGTTCCGCCAAAACATATTTGTTATATTAAATCCAAATCGAGGTATAGTTTGATATCATATTATCATCATATTGTCCCTATATTTAAAGTCTAAAACCATAATATATGGCGGCTATCAATTGGATTAATGTTCCGCCAAAACATATTTGTTATATTAAATCCAAATCGAGGTATAGTTTGATATCATATTATCATCATATTGTCCCTATATTTAAAGTCTAAAACCATAATATAGTACTATTATTCCTTAAATAATACAAGAATAGTTTGAAACATTTGTTTAATAATTAATAAGATCCAAATATTATATTGAGTATAATAAGAATAGAATTATTATTCTGCAATTTATATTATAAAAGGTGATAAAATAACCTAAAGTTTGAAAAATAGCCTAATAAGTAAAGGATTAAAATAATATTGTCAACATTAATTTATCGAGTATATTTAATATAAGACTAACTTGTAAGATAAAGTGAGTATACTGTATTGAATGATTATAGAATCCTAATTATAACCCTAATACAGTGTAATGAATGGTGAGTCATGAATCTGATTCTGTTGCCTTATTATATAACATAAATCATATGAACATTAAAGGTATAGTAACCGAAACATTACAGTTTTGATTGATTGATATGTTTATTAATGAACGCATAGTTTGCCGGTTCCGTTGTCATCTGGAAATGAAGTTCAAATAAATTTTGTAAACCTTGGATACAAAT